GTTTTAGCTGTCAGTTGCTAGTTGTTAGCTGACGGCCGTTAGCTGCTACCTCCTAGTGGTTAGCTGCTACCTCCTAGTTGTTAGCTGCTAGCTGTTATGTTTTAGCTGTCAGTTGCTAGTTGTTAGCTGACGGCCGTTAGCTGCTACCTCCTAGTGGTTAGCTGCTACCTCCTAGTTGTTAGCTGCTAGCTGTTATGTTTTAGCTGTCAGTTGCTAGTTGTTAGCTGCTAGCCGTTAGCTGCTACCTCCTAGTGGTTAGCTGCTACCTCCTAGTTGTTAGCTGCTAGCTGTTAGCTGCTAGCTGTTAGCTGCTAGCTGTTAGCTGCTAGCTGGGTTCACCCAGAGCTTTCCTAACGGCTTCATGCTGGACGTGTTTCTGGTAGAAAGAGAGACGGGATGGAACAAAGCGCCGTCTGCGTCTCGATCCGAGCGGCTCACCAGGTCCTCGGAGGTCAGGTGTGTCAGTCGGTCATGGATGAGGGCCGCCTGCTCGTCGCTCATCACAAACTCCCCTCTCCTGTTTCCCAGCACCAGCTCGGGCCACATGGGCCCCTCGCTGAGCTTCTGCAGGGTGACCTCCAGGCTGGGGGGACAGACACACAGAAACGTTAGCAAACACTGAAGTAACTAAGATCCAACGGTTCTGATCCGTCCAGCTGAGATCCTCCGAATGCAAAAACGAGTCCAGAAGGTGGACGGTCTTTGGAGGGTCACAGTGGAACCAGTGAGATGTTGGTCTGTGGGTCACTGGGAGGTCAGGTTTATGGATGGCAGGTCCAGGATTTCCCTCCAATCACCATGGGTCAGGGCCACTAATATCTGTTTATTCACTGGATCGCTGTTAGCCCGGAAAAAGTGAAGCCACCGGCCGCCATATTGGTACTCCCCACTCCCACAGAGAGGTGCAGTAAAACTCCTCCCTGTTCAGCATCTGGCTGCAGAAACCAGCAGTTTTCTGGCTGCAGGAAGACGTTCCACTGGTCATTTCCCAGTCAGTGGATGAACTAGGCAATAAATCCATCTATAGCCGATGGATCCTATAGTTTAGTCTGCAGACTAACATTAGTCTGGCTATCTCAGACTGACTGGAAGACATTGACTGATGATGTTGCTTATTGTTGTGTTGTTATGCCGTTGTCTGCGGCGCTGGTCAGCAGGTTCTGGTAGAACCCCAGGAGAACGTCCTGCAGCTCTTCCAGCCCATCCCTGATTGGCTTCCTAACGCGCTTCACATGAACCAAAGGCTTAAAATAAAAATCAGCCCCAATGAAGGATCTAAAATAAAAACATCCTACAGAGATTTTCTGGTTTTAGAGACCAAACAACACGACATCATAGCAGCAGAGCCTCATTATTCGCTGTGTTGGACTAAATGATGCTGATGAGGAAGAGTCTTTATGGATTCTAGGAAAAATCTGAATTAATCAGCATCAGATTATAATTTCATTATCTCTGCTGAAGGCAGGAGATCCTCATCAGGCTGCAGAGGTTCCTCGCTGCGTGTCGGTCAGAAAGCAGAGCTTCAATCCTCAGGGTTCATTTGCTTTTCATTAAAGCCGAATGTGGATCTTTGGTTCCACCTTAAAACAAATTAATTTATTTCTAATTTAAATTACCTCAGTCTATCAAAGGCCTAAAGAACTACAGTAACTACTGATTTATGCTGTAAAACACAGCAAATAAATAAAAAAGAAAAATGGACGTTTCAAAATGGAAGCCAAAACGAACCCGGTTAATAAAAACAATCCACCTTAAAGGAAATTATTCCGAATTTAAACTTCTGAGATGTGTCTAGTAGTTCCCATTGATTTAGCTTGTAAAGCGGGGAGAATGGCGCTAGGCTTACCGCACCGTGACGTCACTGCTGGAAGATGGCAGGAGGGAGGGGTTCTCAGTGATCGCAATGAAAATTATTATTTTTTAACTGATTAACGCTAAATATATTAAATCACTGCGAACGTATTAGTTTTAGGTATAAATAATGATCCATTGATTATTCCTGCTGACCAGCTGAGCACCTTCTCTTCTTCTCTCACTGACCAGCAGGTCCCGTCTGTGGTGCAAACGTCCTGCAGAACATCAGAGAGAAGCGTCAGGATGCCACTAAAGGTTGATAAAATGGGATGGAGCCAAAGGAGGAGATAAGTGTCCTCTGGAAGGACATCTGGATGAGTTCAGAGAGTCGACATAAAGACGATGGCAGCAGGAGGAGGAGGCTGTATGTGAGCTGCAGCTAAAAAATGTTTATTTCTCTGCAGCAAAGATGGACAAACGAAGGCTCCCTCCTCCTCCTCCTCTTTCCTCCCTCCTCCCTCCTCCCTCCTCCTCCTCCTCCTCCACCCTCCTCCTCCCTCCTCTTTCCTCCCTCCTCCTCCTCCTCCCACAGCGTTAGAATTCATCACCAATACAAAGCAGGACTGAACAGAATGGATGTTTTTCCATTAAAGCAGCAGGAAGCAGAGCTAAAGGTCTCAGAGGGAGGATGTGACTCAGCTCATATTGACGACTGAATCAATAGATCCAGCTTATAAAAACTAGTCAGCCTGAAAGGGACAGATGGGCTTTAATGGCCGACACTCGGAACCATCGCGTAGAGGAAGAACCAGAACCACACCTTTTGTTGTTCTTGATGATCCAGGCGCTGGCCTCGGGGTCCACCGACCCGTACAGCTGACCCTCCAGCAGCGGCGGGAAGCCCCCCACCCCGACGCTCAGCGTGTCCGCCGTCAGCCGGAAGCTCACGTCCTCTCTGGCCACGCCCTCAGGGAGGCGAAGGCTCAGCGTGATGTCATCAGCCGTCTGCTGCCAGAAGTAGAGCGGATCTGAAACCAGAGAGAAAAAAAACGGGTCAGCTGGGTTCTAGGAACCGGGTAAGAGTGGAGAGGAAGAGGAAGAGGAG